CTCATATACACATAATAACACCTAAGGACAGAAGCAAGGAATCCAGAGGTTAGATATTTGCAAACAGAGTGAAAGGAAGAGGTCACAATGTTGGAAAGAAAATATTGAGGCAAAAACAGCAGACAGGAGATCATAAGAGATGGAGCGCTGAAGACATTTCTAATGTCTGAAGGTCAGGAGGATATATTTGCTCTTGGGAAACAGAGAATTTCAAGGGAGGTGGCTAATGATGAAAAGAAACGAGGCAGTAGAAACAAATGGGGTGCGAGAGACAAAGCTGGAGCTAGAGAGAGAGAAGGCAGGGGGAAATTATGACTTGTCATCTCTATGGGGAAAATGAGGGCCATGCATAAACTTGCCAATTACTTTGCTGTAGATGTCTAGTTTCTGGATTATTCCCACTATTCAATAGGCTCTAAAGAGGTAAACTTTCTGCCTTTATGGATCACTGGCAAATTTCTCCACAGGTATCCTAAGAGTTCCTTGAAACTGAAGTTGATAGTCTTTGGAACAGATCTTGTAAATTGCCATATAACTGAAGCTCTCAAAGCAATTTAAGGGGTTATTCATTATAGATTCTGCTCTATATGATGATATACAATGGGACCTTGGTATCTGCTGGGATTTGGTTCTGGAACCCCCTGTGGATAACAAAATCCGTGGATGTTCCATTAAATATAGTAAAATGACATAGTAAAATGGTGTCCCTTTTATCAAATGGCAAAATCAAGGTTTGCTTTTGAAATTTATATATTTTTTGAATATTTTTAAACTATGAATGCTTGAGTCTGTGGATAAGGAGTCCATGGATACAGTGGGCCAATTGTATATTCACAATGCATTTTGATGATAACTATTCTGATGACACATTTTCACAAATATATACCCAAAGAATTTGCTTCATTTAAAATAAATAATAAAGTTCTGGATTTCTGAAGATGAATTTAGTAGCACCCCCTTCTCTCTTTACCACCACAGCACTACAGTTGTCAAAAACAGTTATGTAATTTTAAATGGCTCCCCTCCAACATGGTACTACCTTTAACATGGTACTACATGGGTTGTTGTTGTTTGCCTTCAAGTCATTTTCCAATGTACATGACATAAGCATTTAAATATTATAAGGGCACCAGGTCCCACCTGATCTTGGAAGCTAAACAGAGTCAGCCCTGGTTAGTACTTAGATGGGAGACCACAAATGAATACCAGGTGCTACAGACTATATAGTTCAGAGGAAGGAACTGGCAAAGCAATCTCAAAGTATTCCTTGCCTAACAAAACCCTATGAAATTCATGAGGTCACCATAAGTTGACAGGCAATTCCCAGAATGAAGAACTCTAAAGTTCAATTATATACTTGAATCTGCAAATATTCATAACTCCTGAAAGTCATGATCATGCATTTCTCATTTACTTTTAATTGCAATATTGCATTTCCCCCCAGCTTTAAGTTAAATATCAAAGATACAAAAGGGAATGCATAATCCATGAACCAAGCCAGTGCACAAGCAATGTTATATCTTTATAATTGGAAGCAGAAGATGGAGAAGCTCTATACTTACAGCCAAAACCAGACCAGGTAGGGGTTGTGGTACAGATCATGAACTATTTATATCAAACATTAGAATAAAGCTGAAGAAGAAAACAAAAACAGTCATCGTACCAAGATATGAGCTGGCCAATATCTCCACAGAATTTACAGACAATGTAAGAAATAGATTTGCACTATTAAGCATAATCAACCAGAAGAACCAGAAGAAAATGGTGGCCAACAGACTGGAAACAATCGATATACACCCCCATTTACAAAAAAGAAGACACAAAAGACTGCAGCAACTATGGGACCATAGCATCAATTTTGCATGCAAGCAAAATTATTCTCAAAATTCTGCAGTATAGACTCTCCATATACTTTCCAATCATACATGGAGAGAGTAATCCCAGAGGTGCAAGTGGAGCTCAGGAAAAGAAGAGGGAAGAGAGACCACATTTAAAACATATGATGGATAATGGAGTGCACAAGTATAAATTACTACAAAGGCTTTGACTGCTTAGAGCCTTTGTAGATTTCTAGAAATAGTGCAAATTGAGTCCACTTTAACTGCCCTGGCTCAGTGCTAGGGAATCATGGGAATTGTATTTTTTTTCTGAGACATTGAGCCTTCTCTGTCAAAGAGCTCTGGTGCCACAATAAACTGCAGTTCCAATGATTCCCTAGCACTGAGTCAGGGCAGTTAAAGTGGACTCAATTTGCACTACATCTGGCAGTCTGCAAAGGCCCTTAGTTCACAAAAAAAACTATGGATTGTGCTTAAAGATGTGGGAGTGCCAGTACATTTGATAGTCCTCATGAGAAATTTGTACTTAAGGCAAGAGGCTATCATTAGTATAGAATATGGGGAAATAGCATGCTTCCCAACTGGCAAAGGGGTCAGACAAGACTGCGTTATAACACCCTACCTGTTCGACTTGTATACATAAAATATTATAGGAAGAGCAGGTTTAGACTCAGAAGAAGGAGGAGTGAACATAAGAACAAAGTACTTCAACAACCTAAGATATGTGGATGACACCATACTACTAGAGGAAAACATCATAGACTTGGAACAATTACTAAGGAAGAAGAAAATGCAAAGGCAGAATTACTGCTGAACATAAAGAAAACAAAACATGGAGGATCTACATACATTCAACCTGGATAAGGAGGAAATCGAAATAGTTAAAGATTTCCATGGATCAAACATTGATCAGAATGGAGACTGCAGCAAAGCAATCAGAAGAAGACTAAGGGCCTCTGCAGATGAGCAGTTCTGGGCCACCCCAGGAAGCGGCAGATTGGGGCTGCAACAACCCCATGCCACAGCCCGTATCCTCCCTTTTGCCACCCCGAAAAGAGTGGCAAAATGCAACTCCTTTTAGGGGTGGCAAAAGGCCGCCCTAAGAGCCGGTGCCACAGCTCTTCCTTGCCCTTTTGGGGCAGCATGTTTAAACACTGCACTGGGAGGGTGTCCTGATGCTGTGTGCCATTTGTAATGGCCCATGGTGTCAGGACGGCATCAGTGAGGGGTTGGGGCAGCTGGTGTGTGGCTGCCCTGCCCCAACTCTACCTCGAGGCCAGCCCTTTAGGTCAGACTGCAGAGGCCCTAAGACTTGAAAGGGCAACTATTAAAGAATTAGACAAGATCCTAAAGTGTGAAGATAGGCAACTGAGCACTAAAGTTAAAATCGTCCAAGCCATTGTATTCCCATCACCATGGATGTAAGAGCTGGACAGTGAAGAAAATTGATAGGAAAAAACTCAACTCATTTGAGATATGGTGCTGGAGAAGAGTACTAAAGATACTGTGTATAGCCAAAAAGAGAAACAATTGAGTCTTAGAATAGGTCAAGCCTGAAGTCCTGGAAGCCAAGATAATCAAACTGTGGAAAGGTAGAAGGCAGTAAAGAGAGGAAGACTGCATACTATATAGATAATTGGGGAGGTCATGGGTATGAATTTACAGGACCTAAGTAGAGCAGTAGAGGATAGGGGTCTTGGAGATGTCTCGTACATAGGGTAGCCATGAGTCAGGGACAACTCGAGGGCAGTTAACAACAAATACCTAACCATGCACTAAAAAAACAACAAAAAAGAAAAATAGAAAGAAAGAAAAGTGTGAAGGTAAGAAAAAAAATGCATCATCCAAACTTTGTTTAGAGGTGGTGACATTGATGTGAATACCATTAGCCCTCTACTAAGTATATATATTGTGTATCAAATCTAAAGTGTGAAGTCACATGTCTTTACGAGGCAAATAATTTTTTTAAATGAATAAACACTATCATTCAGATCCATTCCCATTAATATTTTCTATGCTACATGAAACACACAGAAATTATATCTAACTCTTAAAACAGTGGTGGGGGGGATGCAGATGGGCAGCCCTGGAAAGTGGAGGATTGGGGCCGAGTCTGCCCCACGCCTCTGCTCCAATCCTCCCTTTTGCTGGCCTGGAAAAGAGCTCTTTTCAGAGCTGGCAAAAAGGACACTCCAAGAGATGCTATGCGGTTCTTCTGTGCCCCTTCCGGCACAACACATCAAAACTCTGTGCCAGGAGGACGTTCTGACACTGCGTGCCATGCATAACAGTGTGTGGTGTCAGGATGTCCTGGGGGGGGGTTGCGGTGGCTGGCGTGTGGCTGCCCCTCCCCATCCCTGCCTCGAGGATGTTGCAAAGGGCCCATCTGCAGAGGCCTGTAGTCAGCTTAATAAAACCAAGTCCACTGTAGCATAAATCTTTCATATTAAAGATACTAAGTGAGGGATGTGACATCCATTTGATTGTTTTGAGAAAGATTTCAAGGTGGTTTTGTTGAGAAATGTGACCTCTTGTTTTGTAATTTCCTTTTTTAAAAAATCCTTGTCAGCTTAACATTTTGGTGTAATAGTTTTCCATGTTATTCATATGAGGAAATGTTGAGGCAATTGGGCTTGTTTAGCCTGGTGAAGAGAAGACTTAGGGGTGACATGATTGCACTCTTTAAATATCAAAAGGATTGTCACAGAGAGGAGATTTGTTCTCTGCTGACCAAGGGAGTAAGATCAGGTGTAACGGTTTTAAGTTAAAGGAGGGTAGATTTTGACTGAACATTATAAGGAACCTCTTGATTGTTAGTGCAATTCAGCAATGGAACCAATTACCTACAATGGTGGTAGAGTCTCTTTCTCTGGATGTCTTCAAAAAGAAGCCAGACAGCTACTTGCTTGGGATGTTCTAGCTGGATGCCCTGCATTAAGAAGTTCTCTCTCTCTCAGTACTTGATGGCTTATGGGGCCCCTTCCAACTCTATAATTCTATGATCCTTTGTTCTTGCTGTGTTTCTTCAAGTCATTTTCGATTTATGGTGACATGAACCTGAAGCTATCATGGAGTTTTCTTAGCATGATTATCTAGAAGGTGTTCGCCATTGCCTCTGAGGCTGAGAGTGTGTGATTTGCCCAAGGTCATCCATGGTTTACATGGCTGAACTGGGATTCGAACCCTGATTTGCAGAGTGATAGTCCAGTGCTCAACCACTGCACCATGCTGGATCTCTACAATACATGGGCCTAAATCTAAAGTGTGATAGCATCCAATTACTAGCATCATGAGACTTCCCTCTGCCCTGCTGATCAATGAAAACCCTGCTAGTGTAGGTTACAAGGGCATATGGAGAGGTTGCAGAAAGAGGTGGGACACTGCCCCTTCCTAGTTCTGCTGATGGGACCAGTTCCCACCAGAACAATTTTATCATATTCTGGCCATGTTTACTGCTCCAACGTGGAAAACATTATCCCAGGATATGCATTGCACATAGGAGATGCTGGCAAAAGATGTCTGCCAGTCTGTTTTAAGGCTGTTGGTAAAATTAAAAGGTAGGATCAACCTTCAGGGTACTGACAAGATCTATGTAAGATTTGTATTTTTGAAGTGGAAGGACATTTTTCTATGGCATACTAATAAAACTCATGCATTATATGAGGGCATGGAAGAAGTTCTTCTCTGCTGTGGTGCCCCCTGTTGTGAAATGCTCTCTTCCTTGAAGCCCAGATACTACCAGGGATTTTTACTGCTTAGCTGCCCTTTTTAAACCCTTTATTAAGGTTTTCAGGGTCTTGGCATCATTATCTGACTAGTAGTGAAGTTCTTTATCAGTGCACATGGCTTCAAAATGGCTTTAAATGGATTTAAATAATTTAAAATCTGTTTTAGACATTTTGGATTGTGGTTGTACAATATTTCAGTAATTTTATTGTCTATGCATTGCACTGAGATCTTTTGATATGGAGTGGAATATAAAGATGATAAAAAAGAAAGAAAGAAAGAAAGAAAGAAAGAAAGAAAGAAAGAGGAAGACATTGACATTATCCATAATTAATTTTACATAATGATATTCACAAATTGTTTCTGTTTGCCATTTTGTGGAAGTTCACTTACAGTTTAGTCCTGGGCACGTATATTCAAATGTAAACTCCACTGAAATAAATGGGGTTTATTCCTACGAAGGTGTATAGAATTGCAGCTGTAAAGTATTTTTATATTTCTTCTTTTTCTTTTTTCTTTTGTACTTCATGTAAAATACACAGTAATAAGTCATTTAACTAAAGTAACATGTCAGAAAATGGTTCACACAAAGGAAATAATATTATGCAGCATAAGCCCCCATTAACTAGTAATGTGGTTGACATTGATTGAAGGTGATTAAGTGTACTGTTCTGTTTCTCACTGAAGTTTGTTAAAATAAATACCTGTACATAAGAAGAAATTTGGTGTCTTCTCATTTTGCAAATGGAGTCTATGAATCTGATTTCTTTCTCACATTAACTTAAAGATTAGCAGATATTTTAGGCAAACACAGACAGGCAGGTAAAGAGATAATAGTCAATGAGGCAATTTCACCTTCCCTACTGGGAAAGGTTATTTACCTGAAGATGAAAGTTCACGATCAGTTGCATATATATAATTATATTTGATTATAGACCTATTGCCATTTCATTTTTTTCTGAGGTCAGCATAATCGTCTATTTCCTGACCTCTGCTCATGAACATTTTCAAAGGCATTTCATAATGGTCACAAATGCTTTCACAGAGAAATCAGCTATTTCCAAAGATGATATACTGGCTTAAAGGAAATGTGGAGGCAGTGTGGTTTGTGGCTCTAATATATGCCATTACCCACTGAATATCTTCAGTGCTGCTCATATAGTTTAAACACCGGGCACAATTCTAGAGGTCAGAATTAGTACTATAGATCAGAGCTTGGAAAAGTTAAGTCCATCCCCACCCCTCCTCCCAAAGACTGGAATGGCTGGACAGATTTTGGATACAGTTTTTTCTCTCTTCCCCATTTCTCAGTATTTGTTTAAGATTAATCCAAGGAAAAACCAAGAGCTGGCTGGAGGATTTTGGGTGCTGTCATCCAAAACAACAAGAACGGCAACAACAATGATCTGGTTTGAATCTCTTGATAGAAATAATTCTGGGACTAGGCTGCAGCACCTTGGATGGCTCTTTTGAAGTTCAGAGAAAACCTACTTTATTGCCCCCCTAACATGGCGGCCACCAGCCACCACTGTCCACAGCTTTCTCAAGTGAGGGAGATGGATGGTCAGTAGATGACTGGGCAGCAGGTAGCCATGGTTCTCAGTTCCAGGAGTATATGGATGACACACACCCTATTTGGGGCTGCCTTTGAAGAGAGCCAGTTTGTTGCTGGACACAATTAAAAGTGCTGATTATGATCTATAAAACACTATATGGCTCAGGTCTCGGCTATTTGGCAGATCATAGCTTCCTTTATGAGCCACCTGGGCTCTGAGATCATCAGGAGAGGCCTTTATCTCAGTCCTGGCAGCATCACAAGCACAGCTGGTAGAGACACAAGAGAGGGTCTTCTCAGTGGCTGCCCCTAGACTCTGGAACTCCCTTTCTAGGTAGGCCTGAATGCCCCCCTTCTTGACCTGAAACAGATGGGCAGTAAAGTGTGGCTTCTGGCCACTCTGGGGTTGAGGCGTGCACATGATGCATACCCCCAGAGCAGTGGGAAGCCACACGGAGATTATGTGTGACCAGGAAAAGCTGTCTACAAAAGGAGCGGCAAAAAGGCACTCCTTGCCAGTGGCCCATTTATGGCCATGACAGTGGCCAGCTTCAGGACTGTGGCATCTAGTTGCTGTGGTCCTGCATGGCTCAGGGCTCACTTGCAGCTGGAGCAGCCATTGGCCGCTCCAAGCCGCCCGTCTGTTTGATGCCCTTGTTCTTCCATTGACAGGCTTTGACATTTTTATTCAGACAAGCTTTTAGAACATAAAATTTTTAAAAAGCAGACTATGAGGTGCTGTATGTTTTGATTGTACTTTTAAAAGAGCCTTTATCTTTTAAAATTGCATTTTATTCTTTTATTGTGTAATTTGTTTTTATACAATAATAGTTTAATTCTATTTATCTATTTAATTCTATGAAATTCTATTATAATACTCTCCTTTTAATGTTTTTAATTGTATTATTTTTTAAATAGTGGGCCATGCTGAGTCTCAATTTTTGGGGGAAGTGGGATATAAATAAATACAATAATAATATAATAATGATTGGGTGGGGCATCACTTGTATCTTCAAATGGTCTCCTGTGGTCTCAGCTAACCCTGAAAATTCAGAAACAAAGCGAAGGAGATCTATTCTTCCTTGCTTGAAAGTGCTCTTGAGGAAGAGGTTTGAAGTTTAAAGTACTTTTAAAGAACAAATAAATCTATTCACAGCACCTTTGGATACAATTTTGCTTATTTTAGCACTGGATTAAAATGTAGCAGATGGGAGCTCATATCTAATTTGGCTTTGTCTACCTTTGAGTTGTTCTTTGACTACTATCTGGATGGTGAGGTTTGGCAAGGAACTCATTTTATATATTCTTGTAGAAAGTTTATTTTAACAGTAGTGATAATTATTATTTCAGGCTATTAACAATGCAATGTTAATATTTTGTTAAAATGAAGGCTTTGGTTGAACCTGCCATTTGGATGGTATTGATGAAAATAATTTGTTTTGTGAGAGTTTCCCCCAACATTACATTGCAAGAATTAAAATCAGAATAAAAACACGGAAACAGTGACAAGAATGCTATAGATACTGAGACTTTCTTGAAAAGATAGTGGCACTAAGAGATTTCTGGAATTCAGAAGGGATCGGATTCACTAAAGCAAGAATAACTATACTTGCAAATGCATGAGAATGCTGAGAAGCTCCTCCATGTGAGATGTGTTTGAATTAATCCTGTTCATTTCTGTGAACTTTATGTTTAAAGAACTGTGGATTATGTCCATAGTGTGCATTTGTATTTGTGTCAGGAAAGGTATGTAGCATCTTTCTTTCTAGTGAAAGCACAAGATCTATCCTCAAAGTCTCATCTCTGTGAACAGAATGCAACTGTTGCACTGGCCCAAGATATTTTGTTGTCTGAGCAAAGGTGAAGGTGTTGCATACAGAAGGTGAGTGGCTTGGCAGCTGGAAGTTACTTTAACACAAACAAAAGGATAGTGTAGTTCACCACACCTTGAGATTACAAGACAGGCTGTGTGCATAAGTAGTTCTTTCTTATAAGGGAAGGGAAAGCCAAATGGCATCTGCTGCCTGAAGCAGTTCTCTCTCTCTGCCTAAGGGTATGGACAGCTCCCCTACCATCTCCTCGCTACGCTACTGCTGTGCCAAGGGTTCCAGCAAGTGGGAGTGTGAATGTACACTGCTTGCAATTTAAAGTGTCATATATAATCATATGAGCACAAGTTTTTATTTGGCACATGCTCAGACTTGACATTATGGATTAGAGCACAATCATATCTGTGAAGACTCAGAAATCTAAGGGCCTTTGCAGACTGCTAGAAATAGTGCAAATTGAGTCCACTTTAACTGCCTGGCTCAGTGCTAGGGAATCATGGGAACTGTATTTTTTTCTGAGACATTGAGCCTTCTCTGTCAGAGAGCTCTGGTGCCACAATAAACTACAGTTCCCATGATTCCCTAGCACTGAGTCAGGGCAGTTAAAGTGGACTCAGTTTGCACTATTTCTGGCAGTCTGCAAAGGTCCTAAGTCTCACTGTGTTCTTTTCCATCCTCAGACTCAAGCGCATAGCTTCATATAGGTGGCAGTACGTTAACTATTGGTTGGTTCAGGGAGCCATGCACCAATCCCCTTCCCTGTCCCCTTTCCAGCCTCTTGGCCTACAAATTATTCTAGCTTGTGGCCAAGAAATAAAGAAAAAGGTATCAACTGACCATTAAGCCTATCCTCTCTGGTAGTACATGTCATCTGTAGCTCAGAGCTCAGAAAGCTTACATTTTTGGCAAGCATGAGAGATTCTTGTAGGTCAAACAAGTAACTTTTTCAAGATCTGATGTAGGCGAATCATACAAAAATGCAACTTGTAATCCAGATATAGCACAGCTACAGCAAACAATAAGACATTTTCCAGTGAGTCTACAACAGAGGTAGGCAACCTTTCTCCTTTAAGGGCCGAGGGACTTCAGCTCCCAGAATCCCAGGAGCTATTGGCCAACATGG